TAAGTAAGTAAGTAAGTAAGTAAGTAAGTAAGTAAGTAAGTAAGTAAGTAAGTAAGTAAATAAGTAAGTTTGTCCTTTGACATGATTCAAAACCTCAATATGAAGCGTTAGAAAGAAAACTTTGATGCTGAACCCTCCTGCTGCCCGTGAGTCAAAATGACCCCATTTAAAAACTGAGGTCTCGTGGATCACTTTGACCCAAGGGCAGCAGAATCCTAACACATTTACACATTTCTCATACATTTTAAAATGTTGTAATGCTTTGAACACAAAAGGAAGCCCAAGCCAGGAGCCATTTACCCGCTTCCTCTTAAAAAGAGTGACTGAATTTGCGCTTAAATAAAAATATATATATTTTATTTTAATCAAAGGTTTAATTAGGAATATGTCTGACCGGGTCTGTGCACATGGCCTTGGCGTGAGAGGCCAGAGCGAGGAAGGCGAGGCCGTTGAAGATCACGCCGTTGAAAAGGCTGTAGACCAGGTTTTTGGCCGGCAGCAGCATCACGAACACCACCACGAACTCGGCGTAGAAGACCAGGAGCCAGGTGATGATGCCGCACGCGATGCCGCAGCCGTCGCGGATGAACCACATGGCGTCCGGGCCGCTGCGGGGCGGGGGCGGGGCGCAGTGCTCGGGCTTCAGGTAGCCGGGCTGCCGCTCGATGTCTCTGCTGCGGTGCGCCGGGCTCTTCATCCTACACCGCCCGKGGCTCTGACCGCATACTGCGAGGAGGGGAGAGAGAACGGATCGAAGAGTTAGAAACACGTTACATTTCCCACAAATAAACCAGCAATTATTTCCGGAGAAATCCAGATCCTGAGCTGTGAGCTCAGGGATGTTTGCTGTGGTCAGGGAGTGTAGTTTCCATGGGGTGTGCTTGGTTTAAATGTTTGCATATTTTAAAACAACATCCATGATTATACCAGACACATAGTTAAACAGCAGGAAATTACAAAAGGAGTTTTTGTTAGTATTTGTTACAGCAAATATGAGTATAATAGTTTAATTAAGCTTAAAAACGCTCAGTACATGAAGCGATTTCTGGCAAACGTAGACAGCAATCCACTAAAATGTCCTGATGCATTTCAGTGATCCAGGTAGAAAAAAAAATCAAAAAGGAAGAAAAAACAATAAGTAGGTCTTCTGGACGGGTTCATCTTTAGTGAAACGTTTCGTCTCTCCTCCAAGAGACTTCTTCAGTCTGATGAGTTTCAGGTGAACTCAGCCTTTTAAGCTCCACCTCCACATGGTGGACAAACAGGTTAGTCACATGTAAAAGAGGGCTCTCACCAGAGTTTCAGAGAAACTGAGACGTTTATTCTCTAAACATGACGTCCCAGTGGCGTTCAAACCCAAAACACGTTACGACAAAGATTAGTTCACCCCAAAGACCCAGTTCCCTGGAACAAACAGAGTAATATAGTACAGTATATGAATAGTANTTTTTTTATTTTTGAAAGTAATGAATGTTAGGTAGGACTTTGAATATAATTTACGTTTCAGTAAGCCTGTTTTACAGTTAAAACTTATTTTAGGATGACAATAAAAGTCTAAATACAGATCTGTGGTTACATTTAATTGATTTTCATGATGTGTTTACATAAAATTAGCTCTACCAGGAAGTTGAGTGGCAGAATGAGCAGCATAGGACATCTGGATTACAGCTGCAAAATTATAATAAAAAAAATATGCGATTTTTTTTTAAAGTGTAACTGTTTAACAGCTCACCTCTCAGTCTCCGTATAGAGTCGACAAATCTTGAAGTTCACGTAGCTCCAAGCCTTTTGAGGGTTATTAAAACAGACGAAGCTGAGGTCCACCGGTCCGTGCCGCCACGGTGTTCGTGTTAGCTCGACCCGGCTAACCTCGCTGATACCCGGGGAGCTGTTCACGCTCTTACCGCTGCCTCGGTTTCGACGAGGTGTTAATTTGTTAATTCGTTTGAAGAGACAACCTCGAAACAGGCTATTGTTTCGGTGAGTCAAGTCTGATAATATCTAAATCCTAAAATAGCTCTTGTGGGAAGGAAGACAACTGAACGGTCTGGTCCATCCAACCAGGAAGTGTCGTTCGCTTCTCTGGTCCCTTTACGGGCGTGTTTGCCCTGAGTACGGTCTGTCAGGTAGTTCGTGACGACAGACAAGAAAAAAATGGGCGGTACACTGTTCTTGACTTATAAGTTTGGAAACTAAAGTGAGGAAAGCTTTCTTTTGTGCTAGCATGTATGATAAATATCTGTTCAAAATAAAGACACCAAAATGAGCAAAAACAACAAAATACAACACAATTTTTAAAACTCTCACAGCCATATGACCATGGCTCTGAGAGAGAGACAGAGAGAGAGAGAGAGAGAGAGAGAGAGAGAGAGAGAGAG